CCAGTAAAATCAACCCAAGAAGATCCTCTCTAAGGCACATCATAGCCAGATTGGCAAAAACAACTGACAAAGACAAGATACTAACGTTGGCAAGAGAGAAACGTCAAGTTACTTGCAAAGGTCACCCCATCAGGCTAACATCAAACCTCTCAATGGAAACAATGCAAGCAAGAGGAAAGAGAGTCAAAGTGTTCAATGAAAAACAATTTTGACCAAGAATACTATACCCAGAAAGATTATCTTTCATATGGGAAAAAAAGATAAAAAACATTCTTGGATAAACAAAATCTGAAGGAATTTACCAACTCCAGACCAGTTCTTCAAGAGGCTCGGAAAGGAGCGCTATTCCAGGAAATCTAAAATGTCAGATGGACAGTTATAAGAGAACAAAAAGCAACCAAGAAAATGGCTCACTTAATTGTAAGAACAGGTTCGGAAATATCAATAATAACATTGGATGTCAAGGGGATAAATTTTCCAGTTAAGAGACACAGACTGGCTGAATGGATGAGAAAACAGAAACCCTCTATCTGTTGCCTACAAGAAACTCACCTTATGGATAAAGACATACAGAGACTAAAAGTGAAGGGCTGGAAAAAGATACTCCATGCAAATGGAAATCAAAAAAGGGCTGGAATTGTGATATTGATTTCAGACAAAATAGACTTCAAGTCAAAGACTGTAAGAAGAAACAAAGTAGGGCATTATAGAACAGTAAATGGGGTAATCCAGCAAGAAGACCTAACGCTTATAAATATCTATGCACTCAACTCAGGAGCACCTAAATATGTAAAGGAAAGACTGCTGGAGTTAAAAGGAGAGACAGGGAGAAACACTATACTTGTTGGAGATCTCAACACCTCATTATCTCCTTCAGACAGATCCTTTTTTTTTTTTTTTTTGGAGAGGTTTTCGCTACAGGGCACATGTGCTCACCAGAAAGAGAGAGACAGAGAGATAGAAAGTAAGAAATCACTTCCCCCCAGGGGGTATGGCCACACCGCAATCCCTTCTCCTCCATTCTCCTCTCGGGATCTTGGGCACGCATGCACACGCGCCTGGCGTGATTTTAAGCCACTGGATCCAGGACTCGAACTGCGGTTTACTACATGGGAGTTCAGCAACATAGCCATTACGCTAACTGCTGGTCCCCAGACAGATTTTTTAGGCGGAAAATAAATAGAGAGATACAGGGCCTAAATGATACTATAAATCAAATAGGCTTGATAGATATCTATAGAACTTTCTATACTAACTCCACAAAATATACATTTTTCTCATCCCAGCATGGAACCTCTTCAAGATTGACCATATTTTAGGACACAAATCAAGCCTTTATAAACTCAAAGGCACAGAAACTATATCCAGCAACTTCTCTGACCATGGTGGAATTAAGCTTGAGATTAATTTCAAGAAACACCCTTGAACATACACAAATACATGGAAACTGAACAACCTACTTCTGAATGACTTCTTCACTACTAAAGAAATTAAGTCTGAAATCAAAAAATTTATGGAAACAATTGATAATGAGTACACAAGTTTCCATAATCTATGAGACACGGCAAAAGCAGTCAGGGGTAGGAGTGCCAGGATACATACCTCCAGTTCAAAGGGGATATGGAGGTGTGCTGCAGACAGTTGCTTGGTTCTTGACACCCATTTCTTCCCCTTTCTATGCAGGTGCTGGAGGCCACACTTCAAGACTCCTTTCCCTGGGGCTGGCAGGTGGCATGGTGGTTAAGACACAAGATTCTCCCATTAGCTGACAGCAGTTTGAGTCCCAGACCTGGTGACTTGAAAATTACGCCAGGCCTGTGTGCTTGCAGGCCCCACATCCCGAGAGGAGAACGGATACTCTGGTAAGCACACATGCCCTATGGCCAAAACCTTAAAAAAACAAACAGAGAAACTCCTTTAGTGCGATGCTGCCAGTAAAACACACTCATGTGCAATTTGGTAGAAAGGAGGTACAGTCACAGACCTGCAGCTGTAGTGGCCACCTGGAGTCCATATTGCCTCACAGTCTTGGCAGAGACCTGCAGCTGTAGTGGCCACCTGGAGTCCTTATTGCCCCATGGTCTTGGCTGAGGAACAGTGGGGCTGTGATGACCTTGGCAGTGGTTTCCCAAAGTTTCCTGACCTCTGAAACTCTGAAGAGCAGAAGTGATAAAGTAGCCCAAGAGCAATGTTGCTAGATTTCACTCCCTCTAGCCTCTTCAGTGACATTCCAGTGATAAACATCTTTTGCACAAAATCCCTATTTAAAATATCTAGAGTGGTTAACTTTCCTTTCTGTGACAGTGTAATATATATTTGGTCTTTGCCCCCAGTTCCTGGCACAACTTCTTAAACCCTTGTAACTTTCCTGATGGGAAGCTAGGAGCATCTTTTGTTCTAATATTTGCTCTTTGATCCTGGTTTCTGACATGGCTCTCCAAAATCCCTGGTGAGATAGGAGTAAGACCCCAGTTACAGGTAGATAGAGTAGAGGCCTCAAAAGGAGGTCATGAGGGGGATCACCATGTTTTCCTTTTTGGTGAAATCTCTGTTTTTCCTCTATGGTCTGGTTAATGTTCAATGTACACCTCTTATACATATCTCTAAAAAATGTATGACCCCTTGCTAATACGGCAGGACAGGGTAAAAGCAAAGATGGAGTAACAGTAGCCAAGTTTTCACAGCCCAAATCTGGCTGCAGTGGGACTCAAAGCAACTGTAGCTAAGGGTGGCAGTTTTTATTTAGTAACTGTGTTCTTATAAGCAGTACAGATTGCTATGGTCTGGTGACCACATGAAGAATAGGGTGATACATCACTCAGATACCATGTAATTCTGTTCGAAAAGTCCACTTCCTTATCAGAAAGCCAGCCCATTGCTCAGACTGCTAGATAAAAACGCCCTGCCCCCTCTTTGTCAACCTGTTCAGGACTCTTCCATGCTTGGGAGCTCTGTTCTTCCTTCCCTCTCTTAATAAACTCTGCTTTGCTAGCCCCTGTGTATGTGTCTCTAATTCTTGTGGGCATCAGATACGAACCACATGGATGTTGGGTCTGATCACCAGGCCCGCCTATGACAGTGGAATGTCCTGGGTGGGAGGTATGTCTTTTTTTCTAACGAAGTGAATCTTAGTGGAGGCTGGTCACCAGAAAGACTAAGCCATGATTAGAAACTTGAAACTTTCAACCCAAACCCCTCTTCTGTAGAGGGGAGAGGAGCGGGAGACTGAGTTAGTGATCTACTATGGGATCGCCGTATGTGAGGAAGCTTCCATGAAAATGCCTAAAAGACAGGCTCAGATTGTTTCCAGGTTGAAAAACACATCCCTGTACCAGGAGGCAGTGCACTCTAACCCCCAGGGGACCCTTCCAGGCCTTACCCTAAATATCTCTTCATCTGACAGTTCACTTTCATCCTTTCAAGTATCCTTTGTGATAGACTGCCAATAGTAAGTAAAATGTTTTCCTGGGTCCTGTGAGTCATTCAAATAAATGATTAAACACAAGGTGGGCTGTGGGAACCTTGATGGTCAGAAAAAACGAACAAACAAAAACTAGTCTGCAAGTGTGGTGAACCCCCTACCAAGACAGTACACTTACTCAGATGTGAATTTGAGGGCTTGGGAAGACAGCACTTGGCCCCACAGTGCAGGTAGCTTCAGTGATCCAAATATTCTGCCAACCCACAGGCCCTGAGAGGTTTCAGATGGCATATTATCCTCGGAGGGCAGGAGGATCACACAGATACCATGTAACTCTTCTAAAGCCTACTTTCTTATCACAAAGCCAGCCAATTGTTCAGACTGCTAGAAAAAAACTGGTTCTTCATGAACCAGGGGAGACAGTTCTGGAACAGCTGATATTGGATTGAGAGATCCACCCCCACTGGAAGATGATCCTTTTAGGTTGGTGGAGACTGATCAGACTGGGCGTGCGGAAAGGAGCCCCTCCCCTCCTCCCCTTGGCCTCTATGGAGGCACTGGCTGTGATGAGGGCTCTGGCATCAGTCCCACTGATCTTGTGTCTGGTCCTTCTTATTTGTACATCAATATTAAACTGTGTACATTTTAATTTCTTACCACATGGCTAGAACTGGTTATGAATTTTAGGCACATTAATAGAAAAAGATAAGACTTTTACACGCAATCCTAAAAGCTGATATTGGTAAACATTTACAGGTAACCTGAGACAGGATAGTGTCACGACCCGACCCGCAGGACAGTCCAATAGGTTTCCTTAGGGAAGGAGTGAGAGACGGGACAGGTACAATGTTACAACACGGAGATGACACACTGTTACAACTCTTCAGGGTGGTCCATTTATTATGGGCCAGGGATCGTGGTTATATACATGTTGGTGGGCGGTGATTGGTTGCTCTATAGACCAATCATAAGGTAGTATGGTTTTGAAGATAAGGTTTTGAAGGGGAGCCAATTGTGGCCTTTGGCGTTATGTAATTGTTTCCTCGCTGAGAAAGCGAAACCTAAAGGTTTCCTAAGATGGCGATAGTAAGAGACTCATGAAAATAGCCTCGGCGGACTCGCTGATGTGCAGTTTCCCACAGGATAGGGTCACTCTGTGTTCTCCTCCTCGGCCACAGTCTCACTTTCCTCACCCTCCGTTGTCGACCCAATAGGTGCAGCCTTGTCTACTCGGACTTCGCTGAGCTCTCTGGGATAAGAAAAACAAAGCCAAAGTTTTACTTGTGACAGGAGCAATGAAAGTTTTCATTATCTGCTCATTTTAGATAAGGCAATTTTAAACCATTTCCAATCGTTTACCCTGGATCCCTGTTGAAAATCTCATCCTCATCAGAGGAATCATTTACCGTGGATCCTTGTCATGTAGGCTCTGTGCCATGTTTTTCTTGCGTGTGGCATTGAGAGGTCTATACATATCTCTAAGCCAGAGTGGCCACCTCAACCAGAAGCCACCCTCCTAGAAAACAGAAAGGGGAACATTAATTTCCACCTCTCCTGCTTTCTTCAGCACAGCACTGAATCATCTTCGAATTTGCCTATCAGATGCTGATGTGCATCTCCTATCCAGAAACCGGAAAAAGCTCCTCCTGGGGGGAAAGCACATGCACAAGACAGTTAGTGATTCATACCATTTTCTGCATCTCTCCTAATGCAGAACTCTGGCCTAAAGATGGCAAAACTTGGACCTCAGACCATAATCACAATGGCAAAACCGCCACAGAGCTGGGACCTGGAGACTATGCTGCCCATGCTGGGATTCCAGGAGCCCTCTGTGTCTGTCCAGAGGGACCCCACAATGTCTCTAGGGAGACCTGTGTATCTGGGTAGGCATGGAATATATGGGGCATTGCCAGCCCTGCTTTCACCTCGGCCAAGTGCCTTTGTGCACTGAACAAAACTGAACCATCATTCTGGGCAGAAGCATGCGAGTGTCTCCAGAAGTATTTTACATCAGCCCTCTCTGAGCTAACTGTCCCCTTCATCATTTGCTGGGGATCTGGGAAGAGGGTACTTCACTTTCATAGCTGCTCTACCCTATAAGTTGAATCACACCAAGAAAATGCCTGAGTCCAACTAGCAAAGTTAACTCACTCACAGATTTTCATACCACAGCCTGTTCCTGAAGATGAGTAAATTGTAAAGTCTGTTTAATGGACATGACTATCACTAAAGCACAAGATAGTCTTTCTGAACATGAACAGAAATACATCACTGGACTCCCAGTAGTCAGCTGCAGTTGGAGTCCTGGACCCAGCAGCTTAAAACACACCGGGCACATGTGTGTATGTGCCCAAAATCCTGAAAAGGGAATGGAGGGGAAGGGATTGTGTTATGGCAATCCACCCTGGAAGTTGATTTCTTGCTGTCTCTCTCTCTCTGTCTTTCTGGCAAGCACATAAGCCCTATAGCAAAAAACCTCTCTAAAAAAGAAAGAAAAAATCAGAGGGCTTTGTTTCAAACATCACTTTAATTGTCTAGTATACACATTGTATGTAGTGTATAGTATACACACTGTATATACTTGTATAGTATACACATTGTATATACTGTATATGTTCCAACATGCAATATCAAATGTAGCTCACAGCCCAAGCACAGTATAATCAATGAAGACGTCCCCAGTTGGAAAGGAATCATCCTCTTTCTGATACTCACTAGTAACAATCACCACAGGGCAAGATATTGTCCCTGCCTCCTTCTTTATCAGGAAAGGAAGAGACAAACTACTGTCTAGTGTCTCTCACAACTAAAATTCGATGAGATTTGGGTAAAAGGAATGGAGGGTGGTCAGAAGTCAGTAGGATGGGATGGTAAGTGTTTCCACCACTTCAGAGGAAAGACTCATACATCTGATCTTCTCTCAGCTGGAAGGAGACTAGTTCCCTTGATCCAGGACCATGTTGTCTTCCCTTCCCTATCCCTTGTCCAGAGCCTCTCCAAAGGCCTCTGGTCTGGTCAGATGCCCACCACCAGCAGGAGCAGGCACAATTAAGCCCTCCCCCTCCCCCCGCCTTCTTTCCTTGAAGGACTGATGACAGCAGATGCATCCATGATGGTCCTATCTAACTTGGACATGGGGAGAACTCACTTTCCTAGAACCAGGAAAAGCATTAGAGTAAGTATTCTTCCTGATTCTGGCAGTTTCATCAATGTAAAATAGGGGATGGACACAAATGAGTTCAGGGCCAGCAGGTGACATGGTGGTTAAGGTGCATGACTGGCCATAGTTTGAGTACAGAACCTGATTGCTTGCTTTCTCACTTTTGCTCTATGTCTCTCTCTTGTGAGGTCACATGCCCTATACCAAATTAAATAATGATAATAGTGATAATAATAGTGATAAATATAATTAAATACATATTTTAAAAAAAGAAATAGGTAAGTTCTAAGCTTCCTTCTTGTTCTAAAATTCTAATTTAAAACTGCCAGACAGACCATCCTTTTCTCTGCAGCAGGCTCCAGTTCCATATCCAGATCTGGGCAGTAAGGCACACTGAGGCAGGGACACCACTGCCCCCCTCCCGCCTCACTTCCGAGCTCCCCAGCCCAAGAGCCATCCCCCTAGACAGCAGGCTCCAGTTCCATCTCCAGGCCTCTGGGCTGCAAGGGTCATTGAGGTGGGGGCACCACTGCCCCGTCGCCTCACTTCCAGGCTCCCCAGCCCAAGACCCAGCCCCTGAGACAGAAGGAGATACTGCTTTTCAGACACCTGAATAGAGTACCCCTCTTGAGACCACATTACTAAAAGAAACAGAAGAGAGACTTCGGTACACATCAATTTGCAGGAAAAGGGAAACACACTCCTAGTCAGAGAAATGTTTTCCTAAGAGGTATTCAAAACTGAATACATCTTCCCATGGCTGGAAGTAGAAGAGCCTCGGGTCTGAATAAACCAGGAAATATGTTTCCATCAAAGGAACAGCGTAACTCCCCTCGATCTTGAAAATGGAGGACGTTACCAAAATGTCAGAGAAAGTATTTAGAATATTCATAGTGACGAAATTCTATGAGTTGGAACAGAAAAGAGACAGTGAACTACAGGAGATTAGGAAGTACTTCCACAATGTGAAAGAAGAAATGGATACTCTGAGAAAGAATCAGATGGAATTATTAGAGATGAAATCTGTAATAGAGGAAATAAAAAATTCTCTTGAAAATTTTAAATTAGACCATGCTGAAGATTGAATCTCCAATGTAGAAGATAAAACCTCTGACCTAGAGAAATACACCAAAAAGATAGAGAAAAGAACATAAAACCACGAAGATAATATACGAGAAATACTAAACTCCATAAGACGCCCAAACATCAGAATAACTGGCATCCCAGAAGGTGAAGAAACTAATAATGGCATGGAAAATCTATTCCATGAAATCCTGGAAGAACATTTCCCAAGTCTAGAGAGGCACTCAAGCACCCAGACCCAAGAAATACAAAGGACCCCAAATAGAATCAAGCCCAGAAGATCTTCCCGAAGGCGCATCTTAGCCAGACTGTCCAAGACCACAGATAGTGACATGATACTAAAACTGGCAAGAGAGAAAGGACAAGTGACGTACAAAGGTCATCCCAGCAGGTTAACACCAGACCTCACAATGGAAACAATGCAAGCAAGGAAAGAATGGGAAGATGTATTGAAGTGTTAAGAGAGAAACGATTTCATCCAAGATTATTACATCCTGCAAGATTATCCTTTATATGAGAAAAAAAGATTAAAATCTTCTCAGACAAATAAAACCTGAAAGAATTTGCCAGCACCAGACAAGCTCTTCAAGAAACCCTAAGGCAAGTACTGTTCCAGGAAAACTAAAGAATTAACAGACAGAAACAAAGGAATAAAAGGTGACTAAGACAATGGCCAACTTTAACATCGGGACAGATCTGGTAACATCGAACATAACATTGAATGTGAATGGATTAAATTCTCCAATCAAGAGACACAGACTGGCCGAATGGATTAAAAAAATAGAAATTCTCTATCTGTTGCCTATAGGAAACCCACTTCATGGATAAAGACATACATAGACCGGAAGTGAAGGATTGGAAGAAGGTTTTCCATGCAAATGGGAACCAAAAAGGAGCTGGAGTTGTGCTTATAAACATCTATGCGCCTAACACAGGAGCACCCAAATATGTGAAGGAAAGACTGTTAGGCATAAAAGGGTAGAGAGACTGCAATATACTAATTGTTGGAGATCTCAACACTGCACAACCCCTCTGGACAGATCATCTAGGCAAAAAATAGATAAAGAGATAAAGGATCTAAATGATACCAGGAATCCAATAAACTTAACAGATATCTATAGAACTTTCCATCCAAAAACCACGAGATACACTTTTTTCTCACCCCCACATGGAACCTTTTTAAAGTTTGACCACATCATAGGGCACAAAGCAAGCCTCTACAGATTCAAAGGCATAGAAACTATGTCCAGCATCTTCTCTGACCATGATGGAATTAAACTTGAGTTTAATTTCAAGAGAAATTCTCAAAACTACTCAAATACATGGTAACTAAATAATCTACTCCTGATGACTCCACAACTACTGAAGAAAGAAAGACTGAAATCAAAAGATTCATGGAAGCCAATGACAATGAGGACACAAGTTTCCATAATCTTTGGGACACTGCTAAAGCAGTCATAAGAGGGAAGTTCATAGCAATTAGTGCACATGAGAGGAAGATGGAAACAAGGCAAATGGATCACCTAACATCATGCCTTAGAGAATTGGAAAAGCAGCAAAAAGATCCAAAAGACTCCAGGATAAAGGAAATAATAAAGATACAAGCAGAAATAAATTAAATAGAAAATAAACAAATTATACAGAAAATAAAGTAAAAGCTGGTTCTTTGAAAACATAAACAAAATTGATACACCACTAATGAGACTTGTTAAGAAGAGAAAAAGGAACCAGGTGAATCAAATCTGCAGTGAAGCAGGCAATATAACAACAGACATAGTAGAAATATAAAACATCATTAGAGGATACTATGAATGACTATATGCCAAGAAACAAGAAAATCTGGATGAGATGGACAAATTCCTGGACACATATAATCTACCAAGATTGAGCCAGGAGGATATAGAAAGTCTGAATAGGCCCATAACAAGCCAGGAGATTGAATCAGTGATAAATAACCTTCCAACAAAAAAAAGCCCTGGCCCTGATGGCTTCAGCTCTGAATTCTATCGAGTGTCCGCAATCTATGACTGAAAATGATTGACTAAAGGATATACAAACACAGTAAATGAGTGTAAATACCAGATATAGTGTGTGTGGAAGAGTAGGGTCTGAGGAAGGACATTTAGAAGACAAATATGGAGGCAAAGCATTAATGGGACAAAGAAAGATGGTATTATCTGTTGAAGATATTTCATCGTTTAATTAACTGGACTAGGGAGAAATGTTCACATATTGAAATACTCATTTTGTAAGCTAAATAATGTGATTGAATATGTAAAAGAAAATGAAATAAGAAAGCAAAAAAAAAAGTACACTTAAGAACAAACTAAAAAAAAAAAACAAAATTGCCAGACAAATATTCACCTTGGACGTCCTCCTTCTTCATCTTCTTGAACTGCTTTCCTATGAGAATAAATCTGTTTCGGAAGAAAACATGATCATGAGTATCCATCACAACGACCACTATTTCTTTTCTTTCGAGTCACATCTATTCAGTGAAATGAAAACCTTTGAGGACAGGAATTCCATTCTGTTTAATAGCTCTTTGGCTTTTCCATAGCACCTAGCTTAGCCTCTTGCATGCAGGTGGCACTTAATATATTTTATTGAATGTTTCACATATCATTTTATAGATAATATCTAATAAAAACGTTTTTGTTGTTGTTGGAGAGGTTTTCGTTATAGGGCACACACATTCGCCAGAAAGACAGAGAGAGACAGAGAGACAAAAAGCGAGAAATCACCCCCTAGGAGGAATGGCCACGCTGCCATCCCTCCTCCTGCATTCTCCTCTCGGGATCTTGGGCATGCACGCACAGGTAATCGGCATGAATTTAAGGCACCGGTCTGGGACTCAAACCACAGTTGACTACAGGGGAGTCCAGAGACATAGGCATTACCACAAGTGCAGCCCCCCTAATAAAATCTCTTAAAAGTAGGAAAAAAGGAAACATCCTTTACTTGATAACAGTATCTCCCAGAAACCTAAACAGTAGTGTTGTTTTAAAGTCAAGAACAAGAGTTGGAAACCTTTTAAGACTGCTCTATTCAACCTTGTTGAGAGGCCCTAACCAATGCAGTAAGACAAGTAAATGGGATATCCACGTATTAGAGAGGAAGTCACAAAACTACAATATTTACATACAAAATGCTGGGCAACCTTAAAAGCTCAAGAGAATCCATCAACATTTTATGAGCTGTAATATGAAAATTCAGCATGGTGGCCAGATACAAAATCAAGAAATCAGCACACAAACCTCAATGGCTTTGTCATGTACCATCAATAACTAACTAGGAAGTGGGAGAGGAGCCAGCCGGTGGCTTGGTGGTTAAGGTGCTGGACTCCCACATGGCTGACCACTGTCCCAGACCTGGAGGCTTGCTTTTTCCTTCTCTCTCTCTCTCTGGTGAGTGCACATGCCCTGTAGCAAATTTAAAATAATAATTATAATAATAAATTAAATAAAGCTTAAAAAAACAAAAACAATAAACGAGTAAGAGCTATGCGAGGAAAACACTGAAACTCTTGTGAAGAACATTACCAAAAAATGAATGCACAGTGTGAGATACCATTTTCCTAGAATTTTATAAAGATGTCAATTCTCAGACTAATCTACATACTCAATGCAATCCTAGTCAAAACCCGAGATAGTGGTTCCAGCAATTATTGTAAGGGAAATGTTGTTGGACTCCCATGTAGTCGACCACGGTTCAAGTCCTGGTGGCTTAAACTCACACTGGGTGCATGTGCGTGTGTGCCCAAGATCCTGAGAGGAGAATGGAGGAGAAGGGATTTAGGCATGACCATCACCCCTACGGGGTGATTTCCCGCTTGTCTCTCTGTCTCTCTCTGTCTTTCTGGCGAGTGCACATGCCCTATAGCAAAAACCTCTCCCAAACAAACCAACCCCCAAAACCCAAGATAGTTACTTTTTTAAGTGAAAACTAATGATCTGACATTTGGCTGAGAAAATATACAAGAATACTTATGAAATACATGAAAAAGGAAAGCAGAGAGCAGGAGCTTTACACATCTCGGCTCTATTATGTGTTGACCCTGGTGTTGCTCTTTTGGGTATCTGTTCTTTAAAAAGTTGTTTATCGGGGGCAGCAGGTGGCATGGTGCTTAAGGCACTGGACTCCCACAGGGCCTACTGCAGTTGGAGTCCTGGACCTGGTGGCTTTGCTTTCTCTCTCTCTTTCTCATGAGTGCATGTGACCTGTAGCAAATAATCATTCCTTTTTCTTTTGGAGAGGTTTTTTTGCTATAGGGCATGTGAGCTTGCCAGAAAGACAGAGAGACAGAAAGCAAGAAATCACCACCCTGGGGAGATGGCCACGTCGCAGTCCCTTCTCCTCCATTCTCCTCTCGGGATCTTGGGCACACACACACACATGCCAAGCATGAGTTTAAGCCACTGGGTCCAGGACTCGAACTACGGTCGGCTACACGGGAGTCCAGTGGCACAGTCATTACACCAGCGACACAGTCATTACGCCAACTGCTGGTCCTGCAAATAATAATGCTTAAAATAAAAAAAATGTATGGTATTTACCATATTTTTAGTTCTCAGGGGAGGAGGACTGTCTCACTGTGGCTTCAAGAAATGGTGACAAACAAAGGGACTGGCCCAGAAGGGCTGGAGTACTCAGAGGTCGTGAAGAATGACAAATCTCAGTATGCTTTCGACAGATTTCATAGGACTTCCACAGGCAAAGAGAAATAGGGAATTTCAGACGGGTAAAGACACAGACAAAAGTAGGAACAGACAGGGTGTGACTGAGGTGTGGTGAGGGGCTGCTTGAGATGGAGCAGAGGGCTGCCATGAGAGTAGAAAAGGCACATGCAATAAATCAGGTCACATGGTTACTGTAGTCAAGACCATCTGCTTATTAATCACTCCTTTAATATTCTAGTACCTGCCTGTTGGGAAAAGCAGAAAACTTTCATGTAACTGAACAAAAGGTCAACAGGGACAGGCCGCGATAATTATGCCATGCCTTAGAGTGGATGATGCAGGAGTTAGCTGCAGTGCTTTTAGTGAGTCTGTTTAGATTTGCCTTAGAGGCTGGAGAATGATTCCACAGAAATGCAGTGAGGCTACAACATGACATTTATCTTTTGGCATGTCCTTTCTTCCCAGGGTTATGACAACTCCCTGAGTGTGGAGATTATACATCTCTCATCCTTTCAGCAATGAGGAAAGAAATTTGGTAGAATGCAAGTGATTGCTGTTACATCAAAATGTGGACATAGTTAGGGTTGGAGAAATTTTGCTCTCATATCAACTCGAGTTCTTAAAACTTACATTCTAAAAATAATCTAGTCGCTTGTTATTTTAGTTTCAATTCCACAGAGAATTCTTGAGAATAAGGTACTTTTATTATTTTTTTTTTTATTTTTTGGAGAGGTTTTTGCTATAGGGTGCATGCACTCGCCAGAAAGACGGTGAGAGAGAGACAGAAAGAGAGAGACAGAAAGAGAGAAGGCGAGAAATTCCCACCCACCCACCCACCCACCCCCCAGGGGGATGGCCACGCTGCAATCCCTTCTCTTCTATTCTCCTCTCAGGGTCTTGGGCACAAATGCACACGTTCCTGGCTTGAGTTTAAGCCACTGGGTCTGGGACTCGAACCCTGGTCGACTACATGGGAATCCAACGACGTAGCCATTACATCAACTGCTGGCCCCGGAAAAGGGTACTTTGAAAAATCCCTGGATTTGGGACCAGGAGATGGTATAATGGTTACATCACTGGACTCCCACATGGCCAACCATGGTTTGAGTCTTGGACCTGCTGACTTCAAACTCATGCTAGGCACATGTGATGTGCGTGCGTGCCCAAAATCCTGAGAGGAAAATGGAGGAAAAGGGATTTCTGCCTGGCCATCCCCTCGGAGGGGGGGGGTGATTATTTCTTGCTTTCTGTGTCTGTCTCTGTCCAGTGAGCACATGCACTCTATAGCAAAAATAACTCGTAAAAAAAATCCCTGGGATTTACTTTGCTATAAAAGAACAGAGCATACTTCAGTCTTAGTGACTGAAGAGGAGTATAAGGCAGTAGTTGGTGGGAAAGTGGCTTTGATTTTGTCTATGGGGTTTTTTTCCCCTCTTTTTATCACTTTACTTTTCATTGTTTTAAATCCTTGAGGGGTACAGCATCACACAGATTCTGTATCCAATAGCCTTAGCAGGAAGGTTGCTTCGGAATTTGGCTCGAACCATCCCACTGTTTCCATGGGCTCGAGTAACCTTTCCCCAGATTACTCTGGTTTTATTTGGTTTGCCACCAGGAGTCACTGTGTTGTTTTTTGCTTTGTACACATAAGTACACCTCTTGCCTAAATAGAATTCCACCTCATCTTATGCATAAACACCTTCAATTTTAAGAAGAGCTGTGTGTTCCCTTTGGTTCCTGAGACTCCGCTTATAGCAAGCAAAAATGGCCTAGGCCCATAGTCTTCCAGACATAGTTAGTTGCCTTTTAGAAGTCCTGTTCCCAGAAGCCCTTCTCAGGCTCCAAGATGGCGGGGGGAAAAAAAAAAACTCGATGGGTAATTTTGATAACAATCAAGACAGGATGTATTCTGGAAACCTGAATTAATTGTTGTCCTTACCTCAATGAGACAGAAAATTATAATCAAAACCATCACTACTGCCGTCACAGATATTGCCAAGATGAGTTTGTTATAGCCATATCCTGGAACCTCTTTTGAGAGCTAAAAATGGAGAACAACACACTTTTATTTAAAGAAAACAAAGAGATGAAAAGGATAAAAGCTAGTTATTCAAAACCCCATTCTGAGATGAGTACTTTATAGGTTCCTAAAGAACGTGCTCATACAACATGTTACATCAGCTTATTATTAGGCATTTTCTCAATACAACTTACTTATCTGTGTGTTTGGTCTGCTTTGTTCTCTGAATGAGCAAACCAGGAGGTCACTGTCTTGGCCAAAGTTACGTGGCTCAGACAAGCTCTGGACCGGAGCCCCCAGTCTCCCTGCCTGGGTGCTTTTGTGGCCTATCCTGAACAACAGAAACACCCACGGCTCCTGTTTTGGTAGCTGTCCTCACCTCACTTGACTGCTGCTCTTTGTGTTCACTCTCGCTGATGTAATGCTCAGTCTTCCATTGGTCTGTGTCCCAGTCTGCCTTGGACACCTTTACTTCCTGCTGTTCGCTGAGGAGCTTCATCAGGAGGCCGGTTCTGGAGATGAGCTTGGCGCAGGCCAGTTGCACCTGGGGCTCAGAGCAGTCCATTTTCAAAGTTCTTATGATATGAGAAATGAGCTTTCGCACATCGTTGTTGGGGATGAGGGACCTTAGCTGCTGGTTCAGCTGAATTTCAAATTGATCGCCTGGGGATGAGAGCACTGGGTAAGTGAAGCCTTTGGGCTTGGGGGGTAAGCGAGTACCCATGTTGTATTCCCACTGCATTTCACCGCTCTGTTTATCACTTGGCATTAAGTTGTGTGGGGTCACCGTGGAATCTAGAGCAGCAGGCCTGGGGACTGTGTTTTCAGGGGCAGTTTCTTCTTGTGGCACAGGAGTGTCTTCTATAGGAACGTTTTCTTCAAAACCATTTCTTGGAGTAATCTCATTTACAATAGTGTCTTGGAACAAAGGTTCTGAAATAGCCAGTAATTCTGGAAACGGATTTTCCTGAGGACTCAGGTCTCGTTTAGATGAAAAATCCCCTTGTGAAGGGGAATTGATGAGGCTTCTAACTCCGGAGAATGGAGGCCTTTGTGCAAGCATCAGTCTCTTGCGGGAATTTTTCTTTCTCAACCTTTCAGTCAATTTGGCCTTGGGTGTTCTGTGGGCTACACGAGAGTGCGTTTCATGAAAGTAGTGACTTTCTTTGATTTCTTTAGGAGACTTCATATTCTTAACTCTAGCGTTTGCATGTTCTAATACATACATGGTATAAGTTAAATCTTTTGGTTTCTTTTTAATGTCTGGTATGGAATGGGCATGTTGGAGGCATAAGGCCCACGCCTCAAGGGATGTTTCAAGCTCACAGAGACTGGGACCTTCTGGTCCTTTGGGAAGGACTGTTCCACGTGGAAGGAGTTTCCCACTAGCTTCTTAGGCCTCTGCGCCATGTGCAGCTGTTGTGGTTCCCTTGGGTGGGGCCTCCTGAGCCTTACTTCTGTGGCCACGCTCCTCACAGGAGGCTGGGCACTCTCTTTCCTCTG